GTTGATAAGACAATTAAAAAAAAAATGTCTTCAGAATCAGAATTGTATTTATTGTCTTTGAATACACATAAATCCAACATATTGTAGCAAACGGATAAATTGATGGCGAAGACGTTATCTTTCATTCCGCAACACACTGATGCTGATACGACAGCACAGGCGCCAGCCAATCAGATCGCGTACATGCTCACGTCTGAAGTTCAAAAATAAAAGATGGCGGACCAAACGAATAGGGGGTTCCTGCTCCATCTCGCCATCAGTTTGGGGGACCTTGGCCTGAAAAACGTTGAAGACCCCTGCATTAGATGATGATGGGGAAATTAATGAAAAGCAGGAAGATAATATTTTTACTTTAAATGTATAGGAAGGACTGAATAGTATGCCTTGTGTCCTCTGCTGATTGAGTGGAATATTTGTATGTGTTAAATACTGGTATATGTATAAGTGCAGAAACACATTGAAGGGAGATGCTTTCATACAGGGCACTCGTTCTCCACATATTCTGCATGATCAGTCTGGTCTCACTAAATGGCATAATAATCACACGCCCATTCATAATTCATTCAGTGTGCCCTCACTACACGTTCTGATCCTTCAAATGATCCATTATCTCCAGTCAGGTCACTGGAGCCTTTGCAAGTTTTTCCAGACGTTCATCTTCCCAGCAAAGTTGTCCAGCTATTCTTGGGGGACCCTGGTCCCAGGCCACATGAGATATACCATCTCTCAACCGTGTTCTGGAGCTCCCGAATGCCTTTTCAGTTGGATGTGCAGAAAAAATCTTTTGAAGGAAGGCGTGCAGGAAGCTTCCTGAGCAAAACAAAGTAAAAATGGCTGTGCTCCTAAAAAGGAAACTTCTACCTACCCTATTCACGTAGTCAGGCGCATGACCGTTGGTGCGGGTTTGAATGTAGATGGACTGGGAAATTCTGAGCTTTGCCAGCTCAGTACAACTCCTAAATCACTTCTGATGCCGCACCGTTAAGCCTGACAATCTCCCACTCCATTTCACCCTCTCTAATGAATAGGGGCCTAAGTTACACGCGTTGCTTGGAAGATTTATTGTCTTAGTTGGATGGATATATGGACTAAAATACTTTCACCAAGGAGACCAATGTTTTTTGTGCTATGTGAAACATATCGTTCACCATTGACTTAATTCTGTTGACTGCTTGCGACAAATACTTCATTTCCATCTTTACTTTAATCAATGCTTTTGTCCTGAACCTAGCCAAGTCATTCGTTTTTGGTCGTTTTAAACAAATTCACATTGGATATCCTGTGTTTACAACCACGCATTCCCTGACGATTTCTATTGACAATCCGGCGTTAAATGACACACTCTTGGCTTGACATTAGCACCCATCCCCCGGGTAGAATCAGTGGTGGCCGGTAAAGCAGTCTCTCTCACTAGCGACTTTGGTGGGTGGAATTCTATATATATGTTTTTTTAGTTTTTTTTTATTGTAGTGTAACGGTGGTTATTGATGTGTCATGACGGAATCATCCCCAAACCCAAAACGCTCGGTTACATCGGTGGTTCTTGTCACCGACTAAGTGAGTGAGTGAGCAGCTGCATCGAACAAATTACATCTTAACAGATGCGCAGCACATCTACAGCCCTCTCCCTCACTACTGAACCAAATTCTGATATTGTTATGCATTCAATGGTAACAAATATATACATATTATTTAGTAATTAGTCATTAGATAGTAGTCCTAGTCTAAACCTTACACTATGTTGTGTTCAAAAACCTTCATGGCTGGGACGAAGAACTTCAGGATTTGTTGAGTTATAATGTAATGGTTTCAATAAAACATAGAAATTATGATACAGAGTATATTTCCCAATTGAGGATCCCCGAGCATTCTCAGTCCACAGGCTACTACTGTATATGCTTCAGTTATTAAATTCAAACCATCCATTTTGTAGTATTAATGCAGTAGCTTCCCTATGAGGAGGCGTTGCTTTGTTCAACTTGGTACGTGGTATGGTCTTTTTGTATAAGTACATAAATCACATTCTTAGTTAGGTTAAAAAAAACTACTGGGTGGCTCTCTGCTATGTTATGAATACATTTGTTGATTTCCTGCTAAGCATCGTAATTTACACAAAGACATTCTTTCATGAAAAGTGTGTGTCTAAAATAAATCAATACATTTCGACTGTACTTATAAACATTTTAATATCAAGTGTTTATCGTACTTTATAGTACTGAGTATATTGTATCTAACGTATCACCAACAGCGTAATGAATATTTATTTAATGAGGTTATTTCTGCATCCAAACAAAGAAGAATATTGTTGTTTGTTTTCACACCCTTGGGAAGAAATCACTGACACATTTTTTATTTTGATATAGTGAAAACCTATTTGCCATTAATAATTTCAAATTACACTTAATAATCATTTTCTCATTTAGGAAACCAGCTCCAGACACGTAGAGTTTCTAAGAGGAAGGAGTGAGCTCTCAGGGCTCTCAGATGGAAGCTGTTTCCCTGTCCTACAGCGTGTGCTCCGTTTGCACCATTGCGAGTGTGTTGGTATCACAGATCAAAGGGATCATGGTTTGTAGCCTAGAGGTGGAGAAATGGGTGCCTACCAACCACTCAAACACCTTGCCCTATATATAGACTATATATTCTCTGTACGCACACAGATGTTTCAAATCCTCCTGCGCAATTATGCCGGCATGACAAACCATCATCATGAACCGACTTTGATGGAGGCATGAGCCAGTGCATGCCAACATAACCATTCACACATGGATAAACATGCACATTGTCTTCAAAACTAACTCATCATGAACCTCATTTACGTATTGTTTGCTGGTTTTTACTGCTTCTTGGAGGCCAGCTAAATTTAAATTGATTGATTGCTTCTACAGATTAATGTGGCTCTCTGGCATGTCTACAACTCCCAGCTGCTGCGCAGTTCTGTAGTTCTGTATGTAGGGGTACACCCAGAGTGTGGACATATTTATTTATATGCAGCCCTTGCAATTACTTTGGGACATCAATCCTAAGTTCCACACCCAATAGCACCACAGAACTTGACCACAGGTCCAGCCAATCAGTGACTGAAAAGTTGGTGCGCTGGCGAATGGAGAGAGTGGAGGGGGCGGGACAAGGAGAAGACGAGGAACGACGGAGAAGAGGATGGCGGCGCCCGGGGTGCGCACCTGCGATTAAGAAGAAGTTAGTCGATTGCAAGTTTAGGTTTAGGTTGTTGGTGTTCGTGTCGCGGAGGAGTGACGGTCGGAGCGGCCAAGTGGAGGAAGGAGGAGTCTACGCCTCCAGCTCTGAAGATCATCCGTTAGACGTGAAAAAGTGTAGCTCGTTGTAGCCTGAGGCTAATGTCCTCGCTAGCTCGTAAAGTTCGGTTACGTTGTTAGTTCGTCGCCAGCGAACAAGGACAGTCCGCCGTCTCGCCACTACAGTCCTCGGCGTGCCCGCAGCTCACCTGCCCTCTTCCCCCCTTTCCCCCGCCACTGACCGACGGTGGTTTGTGAGTAATACCCTGCCACACATGACTCCACGTCGTCAACGAGCAGCAACGTGTCCGGGACGGTAATGTTTTTGGGAACAGTTCAATACACGTGGAGGACCGTGGCTCGACCATTTTGAACTGAATGTGAAAACGGTGAACTCCAACTGTGGAATATGTTTATCATATGCAATGACATTTTGGTTATGGGTTTACAAACAATTTAAGTGTATGTTTTTTTGCATTTATTTAGTGTGTTTAGAGTGTTAAGCTTGATCTGGAGTTTATCGCATTCAAGCATATATGTTGTTAGTGTCGTTACCCACAGTAGGTTAAGTGTGTGTCGACACGGGGCATTGGTATTTTGTGGTCTGGTTAATATGCCCCTCTCAGTAGAAGAAACTCACCGGTGAGTAGGACAGGTGTCTCTATTTGAAGTATGGTTATGTGAAATAATTGTTCTAAATTCAAATTAAATCACATATTAAATGTAACTTTTTCCTGGTTGGTTCCACCTGTTACATATTGGCGTCACGAACAGGATACCTACCTAGTTACAACCCTCACTGTTAGTCCCAGCCCTGTTTAGTCATTATCCAGTGCCACTCCAAAGTAGGGTCTCAGTCCTCAGGCAAGTAGTCATGGATGTGTTGAAGGAGCAATTTGAAGAGCTGCAAAAGAAATTTGCAGAGCAGTCAATACACATGAGGGAACAGATGGTCCTACTGCAGGAGGCTAGAAGTGACCAGAGGGAGGCGCTGGCAATGGCAAAGCAGGTCATAGAGCAGAAAACCCCAACCACAGTATTCATACAAAGGGACAGAAAATGCCCAGACTTCAGTGGCTCTCAAAGTCAAGGTGAAATGTTCATTGAAGAATGGATTGCAGCACTTGAATCGTACTTTGTAGTATGCAAAATCCCAGACCAAGACAAAGTCGAACTAGTCAAGCAACATTTAAAGGGGGAGGCAAAAGCAACATTGAAACTGATGGTTGAAGATGATGCAACTGACATTGTTAATGTTCTCCAGATTCTGAGAGAGGTTTATGGAGACAAAGCCCCAGTGGGCATCAGGCTAAGGGAATTTTATGATAGGAAACAAATGGCAGGTGAGAGGATACGGACATATGGATACGATCTTCAAGAGAAACTTTGCCATTTAAAGCGTCGTGATTCCAAGTGCATCTCTGACCCTGACGCCATGCTAAAAGAACAGTTTGTGCTAGGTCTCAGAGATGATAACCTAAGAAGGGAAATGAAAAGACAGGCAAAAGAGCAGCCAACACAAATGTTTAAGTTGCTGATGCAGGCTGCCATTGATTGGTCAGAGGAAGAGGAGACCTCTCAATCCACTCGGGACAAAAGCCACACTCGTGGTGCCGTTAGCAGTGTAGTTACAGAAGAAACGCCTCCAGCCTTGACTTTACAGGCGTTACATGAATCCATTCAGAAATTAGCTGCAAGACAAGAGGAGCTTTACAGAGTGGTACGGGGGCTCCACAGGTCACCACAATGTCTGAAGGCCATTTCAAGAAGCACTTCTCGGGGAAGGTGCTATCTCCAGCCAAATGGGTGAAGCTAACAGCTGCAAATGGGCTGGACATCCCTGTCCTCGGGTGCCTCTGCACTGATGTTGAATGTTTCGGAAAGAGGCTGACTGAAAAATGCGTGTTCGTGCTGCGGGACGATGCAACCAGTGGAAAGGGGCCTGGCGAAGTGCCAGGAATACTGGGGATGAATCGACACAAGCAGTCGGCGGGGAGCCTACGCCGTGTCTTTGTAAAAATGGCAAAGGAAGAGCAATATGTGGGCCCTAGGGGTCAGATGGGGTATGTCAAAGTGTTCGGCCGCCAAGCAGTTATGGTGCCTCCACGCAGCGAGATGGTCATTGAGGGTCGCTGCAGGATCCCTCCAAAAATGCACTGTCAGGTACTAGTTGAGGGTTCGCCAACCGGTACCATGCCTCATGGACTGTTAGTTGCCAACGTGCTGACTCATGCAGTAGACGGAAAAGTGTCAGTTAGGCTGCTCAACACACGAGACAAACCTGTGAGGCTTCCCCCCCGGTCAAGAGTAGCAGCGTTGAGTAAGCCACAGAAGGTACTCCCCAAGGACATTCTGACGTTTGAAGAAACCAACGGAGAAGTTTATGTCCAAGCCTTAGAGGGTGCGGTTGCTTGCGGGAGAGGACGCCCTGGACCCCTGGCTGTTCCCGTCCAGGCTAACGTACAAGGGCTCTCCCCCTCTGAAATTCGCGAACTGAACCAGCTTCTCCAGAAACATCGTGACGTGTTCTCCCAAGGGGATGGAGATTATGGGTACACTACCACAGTAGAACACAGAGTCCCAACGGGTGACGCCCATCCCATTAAACAACGACACCGCAGAATTCCACCTCATGTGTTCCAAGAGGTTAAGCGCCATGTGCAAGACCTTGTAGCTCAAGGCATCTTGAAAGAGAGTTGCAGCCCATGGGCTTCACCAGCAGTCATCGTTATGAAAAAGGACGGGACGGTCCGGTTCTGCTGTGACTATAGGAAGTTAAATAGTGTGACCCATAGAGATGCATATCCACTCCCTAGGGTGGAAGAATCTCTGGATGCTTTGGGCCAGGCACGCTTATTTTCTTCGCTAGATCTTACCGCAGGGTATTTCCAGGTAGCTGTTGAGGAGAAAGACCAGGAGAAGACGGCAGTGACGACGCCGTTCGGACTGTTCCAGTGGACACGTATGCCATTTGGGCTGTGCAATGCCCCAGCAAGCTTCCAACGCCTCATGGAATCAGTCCTGGGTGATTTAGCATTCGATGTTCTGCTCGTCTACTTGGACGATGTGTTGGTATTTTCCAAGGACTTCTCCAGCCACCTGGAGAGGTTGGATTTAGTGTTTAGTCGTCTTCGGGACCATGGCCTCAAGTTGAATCCGAAGAAGTGTTTCCTCCTTAGGCAAGAGGTTAAGTTCCTTGGGCACGTTGTGTCCGCAGCAGGGGTCCAAGTGGACATGGAGAAGGTCAGCGTCCTGGAGAATTGGCCCACTCCCAGGTCTGCTAGAGATGTGAGACAGGTGGTAGGGTTCATGTCCTATTACCGCCGCTTCGTCCCTCAGTTTGCACAGGTGGCTAGGCCCTTACACGTCCTGATGGGCACCTTTAAAAAAGGGGACAGGGGAGCGCAGCACCAGTCTTTTTCATGGAGTGAAGTATGTCAAATAGCTTTTGATAAGCTTAGAGCTTGCTTGATGGCTCCCCCCGTGCTTGCTTACCCCGACTACCGGATTCCGTTTATAGTAACAACCGATGGAAGTCGCCAGGGACTTGGAGCCGTGCTAAGCCAACGTCAGGATGGCGTTGAGCGTGTGATCGCATACGCAAGTCGGGGCCTAAGGGGCTCAGAGCGGAATGATAAAAATTACAGCGCATTTAAATTAGAGCTCCTCGCGCTGAAATGGGCCGTCACAGAGAAATTCCGTGACTTGCTAATGTATGCAAAATTCACAGTGGTCACAGACCATAACCCGCTCCGGCATTTGGAGACCGCTAACCTCGGGGCCGTTGAACAAAGGTGGGTGGCCCAGTTAGCGGAATTCAACTTCGAGGTCCACTATAAGCCAGGGAAGTCTAACCAGAATGCTGATGTGCTATCCCGCCTACCTGTGACTATCGAACCAGAGACCGAAGACACTGGTAAAGACTTCCTGGTGATCAGGGAAGATGAAGTGAGAGCCAGCTTGTGGCCTGCACGTAAAGACCAGTCTAAGGAAGCAGGACAGGTCCAGGTTGTGCAGGCCACCCCAGGAACCAGAGTTTGTGGTTATAGTTGGGACGAGGTTCGAGAACTCCAAATGAAGGACCAGGATCTGGGACCCATAGTGGAGGCTGTGAAGATGGGTATGAGGCCTAACAAGAAACAGTCGCGAGACATGAGCCTGTCACAGCGGAAAGTGTGTGGACAGTGGGAACGTTTGAGAATCCAACAGGGGGTTCTGGTCAGAGACTTGCAAGACCCACGTGACGGGGTGAACATCTGTCAGCTGATGGTGCCCAAGCCGCTACAGCACCCCATTTATGAATCTCACCACGACCATGGTGGTCACTTTAGTGTGAAGGGCACTTTGGCCAAGTTGAAGAGGGGGTACTATTGGGCTTCAATGTCCAAGGATGTCCAGGTATGGGTGCAGAAGTGCAAAAGGTGCATTCTAGCCAAAGATGTATTCCCGAAGAAGCAGGCCTCAATGGTTTGCAGCAATGTTACGGTCCCGCTAGAGGTCCTGGCCATGGACTATACCTTGCTAGAGCCATCTACTGGTGGATATGAAAACGTCCTGGTCCTCACGGATATGTTCACGCGATTTACTGTGGCCGTGCCCACCAAAGACCAGTCGGCTCGGACCACAGCCGCCGCTTTAGTCAAACACTGGTTTGCCTGCTATGGGTGTCCCGCCCGACTACACAGCGACCAAGGTCGCAATTTTGAGGCCGGCGTGATAAAAGAGTTATGTCATGTATATGGCATTGCCAAAAGCAGAACAACGCCCTACCACCCGCAGGGAAACGGCCAGTGCGAAAGATTCAATCGCACTATGCACGACATGCTGCGGTCTCTCCCAGCTAACAAGAAGAGGAACTGGAAAGAGCACTTGCCGGAATTGGTGATGGCATACAATAGCCACATTCATTCATCTACAGGTTACTCTCCGTTCTATTTGCTTTTTGGAAGAGATGCACGACTGCCCAGAGATATCCTTGGGGGAATGGATTTCGACGACAGTGGGGCAGAGAATCTGGATGACTGGGTGCTAAATCATCATCAGAGACTTCGCGTGGCGGCGGATGCAGCAAGGGCAGCGACGCAAGATGCCTCCAAGCGACGCAAAAGGCTGTATGATCGGCGGGCACGTGGCGCACTTATCCGTCCTGGAGACAGAATTCTGCTGAGGAACCATAAACCACGTGGCAGGAAGAAAATCCAGGATAAGTGGGAACCAGACCCCTATCTTGTCATCGCACAGAACCATCCAGACATGCCTGTGTATACTGTCAAGCCTGAGGCTGGTGGCCCTACCAAGGTGGTACATAGGGATCAAATGAAACCCTGCGTCTTTGAGGCCCTTATGCCGGCCAACCCCACACGAGAGCGTAGACCCACATACCACGATTCAGACTCGGATGCCTATGACATAGTGTGTATTCCCCGTAGCTATCCCCATGCACGACACGCTTGCAATACATATCCCCACCATAGCTCTCAAGACGACACCGCTGACACTGATGGGGAGGAAGTTGGGAGTATGCAGAGCGAACATGGTGGGATTCCAAGCACTGGGGAGGGAGGCACGCATGGGGGCGCACAGTCAGATGAGGCAGACAGATCTGGGGATGACAGTGAGGCTAGTCAGAGGCCTGTCAGGCCCCACAGAAGCACCAGAGGTCAGCTCCCTAGCAGGTTTAAAGATTTTGTACCCAAATGAGTGTTCCATTTTGTTTGTGTGTATTGATTTCATGTAATGTGTGTGATATTGAAGTTGAGTTTGTATGCTGTAAGGTACATGTCTACCTCTGTTATTGATGGGTTAAAAAATGATGAAAAAGAGAGCATGGGCTCTTTGGACTTCTAAGGGAGCCCAATTTGTGGGAAAGTCTATGATGTGGCAGGGTTTGAAAGGCGGGAATGTAGGGGTACACCCAGAGTGTGGACATATTTATTTATATGCAGCCCTTGCAATTACTTTGGGACATCAATCCTAAGTTCCACACCCAATAGCACCACAGAACTTGACCACAGGTCCAGCCAATCAGTGACTGAAAAGTTGGTGCGCTGGCGAATGGAGAGAGTGGAGGGGGCGGGACAAGGAGAAGACGAGGAACGACGGAGAAGAGGATGGCGGCGCCCGGGGTGCGCACCTGCGATTAAGAAGAAGTTAGTCGATTGCAAGTTTAGGTTTAGGTTGTTGGTGTTCGTGTCGCGGAGGAGTGACGGTCGGAGCGGCCAAGTGGAGGAAGGAGGAGTCTACGCCTCCAGCTCTGAAGATCATCCGTTAGACGTGAAAAAGTGTAGCTCGTTGTAGCCTGAGGCTAATGTCCTCGCTAGCTCGTAAAGTTCGGTTACGTTGTTAGTTCGTCGCCAGCGAACAAGGACAGTCCGCCGTCTCGCCACTACAGTCCTCGGCGTGCCCGCAGCTCACCTGCCCTCTTCCCCCCTTTCCCCCGCCACTGACCGACGGTGGTTTGTGAGTAATACCCTGCCACACATGACTCCACGTCGTCAACGAGCAGCAACGTGTCCGGGACGGTAATGTTTTTGGGAACAGTTCAATACACGTGGAGGACCGTGGCTCGACCATTTTGAACTGAATGTGAAAACGGTGAACTCCAACTGTGGAATATGTTTATCATATGCAATGACATTTTGGTTATGGGTTTACAAACAATTTAAGTGTATGTTTTTTTGCATTTATTTAGTGTGTTTAGAGTGTTAAGCTTGATCTGGAGTTTATCGCATTCAAGCATATATGTTGTTAGTGTCGTTACCCACAGTAGGTTAAGTGTGTGTCGACACGGGGCATTGGTATTTTGTGGTCTGGTTAATATGCCCCTCTCAGTAGAAGAAACTCACCGGTGAGTAGGACAGGTGTCTCTATTTGAAGTATGGTTATGTGAAATAATTGTTCTAAATTCAAATTAAATCACATATTAAATGTAACTTTTTCCTGGTTGGTTCCACCTGTTACATGTAGTTCGGCAGTTCCACACAATTCTATACATGGTGTCCCAGGATTAGAAGTCACAAGAATATATGAAGACTATATCCCGGCAAGAATTGGGAAAAAGGTGTGGGTTTGTGCGAACAATTTGGAAACAAACTGTTTTCTTAACCTGGGTGAATACTACGAGAGCGTTTCCGACGGGAAGTGACTACAGGGATATTGATGCAGACAATACATGGAAGGTGAAAAACCTAATTACAAGTATGAGTCTTGAAATGAGCATGATATATCTCCTTTAAGCTTCTTAATCCTCTGTTTGGGGGGTTTGTAAAGCTTTTTCATTGAAAACAATGTTCCATTGTTAATATATAAAGCTATATTCCTGTGCTGCTTGAGAAAGGTGTACTTTATATGAAAACGGTGTTTTTTATTCCACATTTGCAACAGCATTGACACCCAGATGAGGAGAAAAACTTGCTTCAGCAGATCATTTGCATGAAAGTGATATTCAATCAGACAAGTCATTGACCTTTGGAGAGGAAACCAAACAACTCGGATGAAAATGAGGTTCCCTTGGCAACCAAACAAACATAAAGCTTTCCTGCACTCTCTGATTAGTAATTAAAGAGAATGTGAGGGTAAAAGAAATGAGTTAAAATGGAATTAAATAAATAATAAGGAGAAATATTTTTGTGCTGCACACTGCGTTTAGAAATATCATTAACACAATGGCATAGCTGAACAGTATATGGGATGCATGTAAATATAGTATGATGTCCTTCACGATTAATCCTCCTGCCGTTGCCACTAAAATAGCTACTTTGAATCAATGTTACAGTGATAGGCATTCTACTTAAAGCATGCTAATCAGGTTTCACTATCACGTCATAGTTGCCATGGAAATTAATTCTATTTTCATATTGCTTCCGCCACAGAGATCAGACCGGGAATACAACACACAAGTGCAACACTTCCATCACGTCTGTTTAGTTTTTTGATACGCTCACCCAGCAACAGCATTTTGCCCCTAGCAACTCTCCCCCTGCAGCTTCTGCTAACATCAGTGCCTTGGGATTAGCAGAGGTGCTAGACAGGAGCCAAAAACAAATCCTCTCACACACCTAGCTGTCTCTTTTCCTCGTGTCATTATCAAACACATCCAGAGTGCCAGCTCGGCCTCAGGATATTTTCCAAAGGAAGTGAGATCAGATGAGGAACTGCTAGTTTGCCATCTTATCTTGTAGCACTGTGAGGACAGAGTCACTTTGGATCTTGTCTTCCCCATATCGTGACAGAACAAGGGTAAATTAATACATCGGGTTACCTAGAGGAAAGAGGATCAAATATCAAACTTGTCTACTTGAGCTCACTTCCATTCCATCCATTTCTGTTTAATAAAATGAAGTATAAAACCGTCACAACCTCAGTAGGATATTAGTCAACCTCTAAAGTGTAAAAGTCAAGGCATTAAAGTGGCTTTTCACTAATAACTACGTGCGGATGCGTTAACAGCTCAGCGGCTCCCGATAATGCGCTGCTCATTGAGCTATTTGTTATAAATGTGTTGGTACATTGATGTTCATAAGAAAAAGCTCATGGACCCAGAGGGGCCCGGGCCTCAGTCCTGAATAAGTGAACTCCTCGTTGGCCCCCACTGCACGATGGGATATGCTGGGCCACATACATAAGACTTGTCCTCCAAATCAGCGCCTGGAGGACTGCGTCCCTTGACCAAGTTCAGAGGAGCTGGCGGATTGGGACAACTGAGTAGCAGCCGAAGTGACTTAGGCGGTCGACGAATGCGTCCTCACTACGATGCAGCCGACGAATTGAGATATAACTAATGTCTGACTAAATCTTTAGGCATTATAGCAATAGACCTTGCCAACTCCATTTAGCTTCACTCAGAAGAACATCAATAACAAAACTGTGCTGCCTTTATGATTGCAATAATTATTTATGCCTAAATTAAATCTAGACATGAAAACCTCTTTTGATTTTGACCGTTATTGTATTTTCCAGCAACTGGTTTGAGGGTTAAATATTGTTGTTTTATATTGCTTATTACTTATTTGATAAAATAATCGTATCGTTGAATCCCTAGAGCAGCGATTCCCAAAATGTGGGCCGCGAAGGTACTGCAGGTGGGCCGCGAGAGGTCATTTACAATAAATAAAACGTTTTTTCATTTTCAATTTTTAAAAGTTTGAAATTAATATAAAAATATTTATGATGCGGCACATTAGTTATGTGAAAAATTAGTTGATGAAGCACAAACAATTTAAACCGACAGATTAATAAAACAATAAGGCTCTCGCTCGAAACGGCTGCTCTTGTCCGCCTGTCGTTGTTCAACAAACAGGGCGCCCTCTTGTAGTATTAAAGTCAATATACCGCATTTTCCGCACTCCAAGGCGCACTTAAAAGGCTTTAATTTTCTCAAAAAACGTCAGTGTCTTACAATCCGGAGCGCTTTATATATATGGATCAATTGGTTAATCGGTTGATCCATACTGGTTGTACACGGCGCTCAAGGCGCTCTGCCAGACATGCCAAAGCTCGTCTACGACGGCGAGATGCTGAGCGGCACCTCACTGTCAAACAGAACAACAGCGAGCGCGTAGAAAACTCCTTCGAGCGCGAGCAGAGATTCTCCTCACGAGCAACGAAGCGAGCAAATACCTCGCGGTAACAAACTTTTGCTCGCGCGAGACAGACTTTTGCTCACGAATGTTTGATTTTGGTTAAATTCTTAAGGTCATTTAATCATTATGTTTTGGTCAGAGTTGTGATTAAAGGTTTGGGTGGGCCGCAAAAGATTTTCAGATTTCAAAGTGGGCCGCGGCATTCTTGAGTTTGGGAACCGCTGCCCAAGAGGTTGAAGGGTCCAGGGTGAATCTAATGTGGCTGAAGTTTGTTAAATATCTTATGAGTACTACATTTCGCCTTACTTATGTAACAGCCTACAATGCTATAGTTTGAAGTGTTTGCCAAATGACCAAAATGCGGTATTGCGGAGTTGAGAGCCATAGACATGTATGCAACCCTATTATTGATATGACATATATAAGTACTGCTTTAAATCAACTTAGAAACACCCCACGTTGCTGACGCAATCACAAAGCAATTCTCCACAGCCCCTCTCTTAAAGCAGTACTTTTCACAGAGGTAACCTAAACTATGATCAAAAAATTGAAGGGTTCAGTTGGCCGGAGAATCGGAGTAGCGGGGGCGGTATTGGGGCGGTATTGCACTCGCTTTACCGCACTGTTGTAACGAAAACAGAGCTGAGCCGGAAAGCAAAGCTCTCGAACTACCGGTCAAAAGTCTGATTTTCATTTGCTCCTATGTATGCAATATATTAAACACTATTAGTGATATAAAAGTGAAATAAATTGTTTGGTACATGACAAAATGCAAAGGTCACAGTTTGCCACAAAATGGTCAAAAAACGTCTAAACCTTCAACAGATATACTGATATTTACACATCTGGAGAAAATCCCACAAGTATTTTCTTCATTTTCAAATGGACCTAATGGTTGTAGATATATAGTCTTCTAGTATTCAAGCAGGAGCCAAAGAATGGCCTGGTCCTAGAAAGGTTTTAAAGAGAAAAAAAAACTATGTCACACCTGTAGGTCAAGTTGGGCTTCTCTCCCGTCTCAATGGTTGTTTTGTGACTTCCTGTTTTATTTTGATATTTAACCCTCCTCTCGTTTCAGGTTCCTGGCCCCTCCTCATGTGTCACCAGTCTAATTGTCTT